TTAGTACCAATCAATTTTTTAATTATAACATGGCTTTTAAAGTATCACAATTAAATGTATTTTTTATTTTTTTTTTAAAAACGATTTTAAAAGACAAAAAATGGAAACCCAACCAAATAGTAAATTCCTGATGGAAAGCATGCCTCGAAAAAGAAAAGTCCCTAAATTACCGATTACATTATTTTAGATTAAAGACATGTGATACCGAACAGATAAAGAATTCGCATGATGCTATATTTATATTGATTAAAAAAAAAACATTAAGTGATGTGTATCATCTGACAGTGCGAGCCTGTGCCTGAAACAAGTCAAATTCAAAAATATTTTTGTCAGAAACGTTGATCAATTATCTAACCTCTATCAAAACAGTTATCCTCACGGATTGCCTGGTGCGTTTGACTCTTCAAGTTGCCTAGGGGTTGGCACTTTCAGATCCTCTGCCGCTTTTATAAATTATTTATCTCAATCTCATTAATATTAATATTAAAAAATATAAAAAATAAAATATACAAAATTTTAAATATATTTTTATGTAAACAATTTAAAAAATAATGTCATATTATTTTTTAAATAATTTTAAAAATATTTTTTAAATATTATTTAAAATGAAAAATTTTGATTTGTAAATAAAATTAAATAAATTTTTTAAAATGTAATTTATAAATGGGATGGAGAAGTATTGCATTTTTGTCAGTTAAGATTACTTAAAATATTCCCCACAATTCAAACCTTTTGAAATTTATGTTTTGTCTCGGTCCAAATGCCTTAACCAATTCTCTCTCTCTCTCACACGATCACACACAGTTATAATATCTAGTGACTTGGGGGCATCTTGTTTGAGCTTCTGAGTTCTGAGCAGAAGATCGCCACCATAAACATGAAAAATGCTATTTCTCAGAGAGCTAAAACCTCGAGGAGCTTAAAAAATAGTTCAAAGTGGTTATTCGTCTCAGAAACATGTTAACTCATGAGACGTCAAAGGGGTTGTTGGGACACTGTTTGGCTGTGGTTAATTTTGGTTCGATCATACAACAATGTTGGAGAGAGAGAGTGTGAGTCTTTTTCTTGTTTATTAGAATCAAATTTTTCCTTTCGTTAGCAAATTATATGGCATTTAAAACCACATTAAATTTCAATTAACTTAAACTAGGACACGCATTCAGATCAAAACAGGAGGTAGCTCTCCCAAATCTTTGAACGTTTTTTGTATTTTCGTAAACTCAAGTCATTGTATTCAGTTAGAACATAGCCTTTTTACTTAATAAGACCAATACTTATTGGTGACTCATATTTAAAAATATCGATGTAACACTACCTAGGCCAAAGAAGAATTAGGGTTCAAATTTGTTTGTCTGAACACATTCATTTACATTTCACCTTATTTTCACTAACTGAACTAATTAATTTTAGGCGGCTCAAATGCGTTTAGATGTATGAAAGATTATTTCCTAAAATTAATTTAATTAGTGTTTATCAATTTCCTAAAATTAATTTATTTCTAGAAACTCTGTTTGATTCAAAATATAGCATATTGATTAAGTAGTTTTTATAATTTTTTTAAATAAATATGGCTTTATATTATGAAATGGGTTTTCCTCTTGGTTTCCTTCTGCACTCACATTTGGACATAAGGTTTTCAAATGTGATTTTACTATTAAAAAAAGTTTTGATATACTTCTTTCATCTCTATATATAAAATATTTTTAACCAAATCACGTAAACTAATAAAAGTTGATTATCTAATAAAAAATACAGTAATATTTTAATTTTGTCCCTAATTATTGTACATAAAAAATAAATATCTTTTTTAAAGTAAATTAATAAGAATATTTTTTTCTCTTTTTAATTTAATAAATGTATAATGGCCTATTCATTAAAAAATATGCTAACAATCTTTTATATTTAGGGACTAAAAAAATTTAAAAAAACTTCTTATATATAAAGATGGAGGGAGTACATGTGACAGAGACCAGTAAAGAAATAAGATGAGGCAAGTCCTTTTAAGTCAACTTATAATTTCATGCTCACATATCCTAACAATATAATTGATCAGTAGTGTATGACTCAAATAACAAAGTTACATTAAGTATACTAAAACTAGGACATACATCTTGATGAACTCAGACATCAATAATTCAAGAGCACATATGTAGAGCAATAGAAGTGGAACCACGAAGGAACCCAGAAGCAGTAGGAAAAGAAGGTGGAAAAGTAAAAGTAAAAGTGAAAGTAAAAGGGAAGAATAGTCATATTCAAGTCATCATCATACAAAGAGAAGTTCAATTCTCACTTTGGCTTTGAAAATGAAAGTGCACAATAATAGTTGAGGGTGATCTGAGTGAGTGAATGTAGGTGTTACTTGTCACATTTTATATTATCCAGACAATAAGGCCTGAGAGCCAAGTGTCTCGCCCAGCCTCTCTTTTTGAATATTAATTTAGGTTCTCTGCATATGTACCTGTCTTTCTCACAATACATCAAGTTTTTTTTTTTTTTGGGGGGGTTATTGTTTTTCATAGAGGCAGTAATTCGAGAAAGTTATGCTTATTTGGATTTTACTCTTTTAAAAAAATTCATATAGTCAAACATTGTCCTAACTTTTTCATCTAGTTTCGGTTTGACTTGTCAAGCTTGACCAAAATTACTAATTTTATATATATATAGAGCTGAAAATTTTAAAAGTTGGGCTTATTCAGATTGGACTTAAAGTATCGTACTCTCTTAAAAAAGTTCATATGACCAAGTCCCGCCTTAACTTTTTCCAGACGAGTTTAAATTTTTAAATCAATTATTCTGTCGATAAGTACATTTTGAATAAAAAAATTGTGATGTCATGCTGGGGAATTAGACAGTATTTTTCTTAACAAAAAAAAAATTAATATCATCATCTCACATTTAAAATTAATTATTTAAGATAATCTGTTCGGTTCTGTTAAAAGAAAGATAATTTGTTTGGATAGTAAATTTTTTTTAAAAAAACTGAGATTTGAAACTAAAATAAAAGATCGATCTCCATTTTTCAATCAACAAAAGGCTAGAATAAAAAATGAGAAAAGAGAGGAAAGTGACAAAAGCACCAACAATAAAAACATGGAGAGATTGGAAAGATTGGAATAACAAAAATTTCAAAAGATCATGGTACGTACAAAAAGAATTTAAAATAAAAAATATTTCAAATCAAAATCCATGGATATTTTTTATCCCAATAAAAAATTTAGCTCAAATACAAATCCAAATTTTTATTAATCTACCCGCAACATTAATAACTGTTTTAAATAAGATTTTGTTTGAGAAGAAAACATTATGAATTAATAAAATGAAAAATAAAAAAATAAACAAGTCCAAAAAATTATGGTTCCACCATTAACCATTTACAAATGAACGGCTAAAGGACAAAGCAGAGTTAGAATTCAAAATTGACATTGAGAGTCTAAGAACCGGTTGTTCTGATGAACTTCTCTTGCTTAAGGTTGGAAAACGTTAAAATATTGAGCTTTTTTTCCCCCCTTCACTTTTCCAAAATGGAATAAGAGAATAGAAAAACAAACTGAATACCTGTTTTTTTTAAATAAAAATAAAAATAAAAGAGGATTGGTTTTGAAAAATGGATGAAGCAAAGACGTGGGGTATATCTCAACTCAACCTCCCATACTGTTTGGAGTTAGTTCTTCAAAGTCGGTCAAATAAGAAACGATCGGATGTTTCTTGTCCGCTTGACCTGTCACTCTTCTTCATCGCACTCACATTTCTTTTTCCTTTTTACTTTTTTTCTGGGGCTACGTATTTTTTTCCTTCTTTTTTTATTTTCTTTGATATTTCTTTCAATTTTATTTATTATTCATCTTCTCTCCTCATCCCCTACATCCACATCATACTTTTTATTTATAGCTTCAACATAAAACAATTTCAACCATATACCTTTTTTAAACTTTTAATTTTTAGAGTGTTTAAGTTATATTTAAATAATTAAATTCCATGAATTTTTCATTTTAAGTATCAATATTAATGTAAAATATCAAAATTTATAGCGTGTATTCAACAAGGTTGCTTCCTACCGTTATCATTTAACAATATTCAAATCGATACCGGCAAGTTACCAAATGATTCTATAAAATAATCATAACTAATAAGAATAATTTTGATCCATTATTAGTTACCAAAATGAAAGGAGTGTAAAAAAAATTATAACATCAATTTTAATAGAATATGGTAAATTATGACATTAATAAGTGAAGTGTGACCAGGAAACGAAAGGAAGAAACTCCAAACAACATGAGAGTCAAATATTCCGAATCCGTTTGGCTAGGAGCGGGCTGAAGGGATCATTAATTGGGAAAATAACTCCAGAATCCCCCATAACAATTTTGGAAGCTCAAAAAATAATTCTTAAAAAAAATTAAGGAGAATGACAAATAAGAACCTTAAAAGAATATTAATATTAAATTAAAATTTTTTAACATTGATGTTCCAAAATTTCAATACTCCTTCTATTATGTTTCAATAGTAAAGCTCTTAAATCCTAAAACACCCTATTAAAAAAACACATTTAAGTCCTAAAACATAATTTTATTTAAAAAATTATTCAAACATCTTCATTTATTAAAAAAAAATCATATTTGACACCATGCTATACTCAATCCAATCTTATTTATTAATCATTTTTAATATGTTTTAAAAAAACATTAAAAATCATTAAGTTTATATAAAAATTTAACACATTTTCAATTTTGCTTCTACTAAATATATATACTTTAATAATTTTTTAATATTTAATTAGAATAAAAACTTGCAATAAAATAATAGTATGACTTATAATTAATTGAAAAATTATCCTCTACCTGCCAAATAAATAATTAATAAGAAAACAGGCAACACTAACTTGCTTGTAAGTTTAATTAGATGAATATAAAAATTATAATTTGTTTTATTCGAATTTGTTTTTACCCAGGCGGGCGTTTCTGGGGCCTATAAATAAATCACCTATCAGAGCCTTCTTATCTCACCCCCCTTCAGTCTCTCTCTCTCTCTCTCTCTCGCTGTGGTCTCTTCTGCTTGTTCTGTGCTCTTATCTGTTTGGATAGCTAGAAGAAACAAGAACCTACCGCCGACCGCTCAGCTTTGGTTCAACATGGAAGGCGGAGTCCCAGAAGCCGATGTATCTGCCTTCAGAGAATGTCTGTCTCTCTCATGGAAGAACCCTTATGTTCTTCAACTCGCGTTCTCTGCTGGAATCGGCGGCCTCCTCTTTGGCTATGACACTGGTCTGATATTCCTTCACCTTCCTCTGTTTTTCTTTCTTCTTTCAAACCCATTCACTGAAACAATCAAGTCTGGTTTCATGTATACATATTAAGTAAATATTTTTTTTAAGATTTCATACGAACACTTCGTATTTCATGGCATATAGGCTGGTGTTCTTTCTAGCTGTCTTGTACTCTGTTTTTCATGTTCATCCAGCCTCTCATTTTCTCTGTTTCTACAGTCTACACTTCAGAAAAAAGAAAAAAAAAAGAAAAAAACGGACAATATTTGTGTCTCACGCATGTCGATCACACGGAATATATAATTTTTTCCACGATTTTTTCTTTTTTAGTTAACTATGATTTTGGATTAAAATTGCTGTTTTGGTGTTGGGTGAGTGCAGGAGTGATATCAGGGGCTCTTCTGTATATAAGAGATGATTTCAAAGCTGTGGATAGAGAGACATGGCTACAGGTAATTAATGCTTATCTCCATTTTCAATAATAAATTGTAAATCACACAGGCAAAGTATAAGACAACACTCTCAAAATATATACTTTGAAAAAAAATAATATTTTATTAATTATATTTATTTTAACATTACCCTTTCTTTCATGTTATATTCTCTCTATTTAATATGAGATTATATTAAATAAAAATATTTTTAAAAATTTATATTTATGTTTTAAAAAAATAATACTATAAAATGTACTTAATAAATTGTATTAGTATATTTAGCTTTATTAAAAAGTATCTTATAACTTATCAACGAACGTTTAGGTTAAATGGTACTGGGGTTGTTTTAGTTTAACTTAGTCTCGAGTTTGAGTATGGGAATGCAGTAGTGTGATAAATTTCTCTAAGAGGGTGTGGTAGAGCCTACTTTTAAAAATGAGCCTTCTCAGCTTAATTCTAATTAGTTTGGTCTCATGAGTTACCGAGCTGGGATATCGAATTCTATACAAAAAAAAAAGTATCTTATAATTTTTAAGTACGGATTTTGCCATTGTGAATTTCACCTATTTTTAATGGACAATAATGTCTCATGCTATGCCCTGCGCCAGCAATTCCCACCCACCGGCCTGAACGCTGAGCATAAAAACAAGACCATGTGATGGTTTGTTCACAAGTTCAAATTGGACACAAACAAAATAACACCTGGATTGATAAATTAATTAAGTTCAATTTCAATGTTAAAACTTAATTTATCTGCATGTTAACTTCTGACCAACTCATATGCAGTCAATTAATTAGACAAGCATTCAGTGTATCACCGTTTCATATCTCATTAAAACATTGACTTAGTTACTTACTATACAAATAATTCCAAATTGGCGTTCTCTCATCCTTTGGATACTGAAGATTAGACTAATCTTATCATTATTAATATGAACAGTAGAATAAATAAATAAAATTTATTTGTTTCATATTTTATTCAGAGTTTTGGTTTGAGTGTGAGGAATATCGGCTAACTTTGTCCGCGGCCTGCTTGGGAAGAAGATAATGCTTGCAAATCATTGTTATATTGTTATATTTTCAATTATCGTTGCAGGTTGCATAAATTTTAATATATAAGTCGCGCCATACTTTATTAGGCTTTTTGTACGATATTAAGAATATCTGCTAACTTGAGTTTTTCGTGATTTTGTATTATCTGTAAATAAATCGATGTTAAGATACTAGTAATAGAAGTTAGTAACAAATAGCTCATGAGTGAAAAATATATATTTTGTCTTGATTTAAAAAAGGCACATTTTTAGATTTGTATCCGAAAGAGAAAAACAGATCAACATGAAGCGTCCAATCCAATAACTACAACAAAAAGGGCGTGAAATATAGAATCTAATTCCATTATTTAATAATATAAAAAATTATTCTTCCCCCCGTTGATGTTTCAGTATCGTTGCCATGCAAATAATTTATAAAATCATTTTCCCTGACATTCATTCTTCCATTCATGGATACATATCTTACCTGGTCCTGAAATTCCCCAATAAAAACAATACCGCAAGAAGAAATTGTGAGTAGCATATAAAATGGATATAATGATTTTCCCAGAGATTCGTTATGGTTTATTCATTACTTTTATGCCATGTTTGGCAGATAGAAAAATGTTTTTGAAAGAGGAAATGAAAAATGCACATATTTTATTTTCTTTCTAAATACAAATACTTTTTTTTTAATTACGTTTTAGAAAATAATTTTCTGTTTACCAAAAATTGCTTGACAAAATCATTGAAATGGGAGCCAAGGTTGTGATGTGATGATGAAACAGGAAGCCATAGTGAGTATGGCACTTGCAGGAGCGATAGTGGGAGCAGCAGTGGGAGGATGGATCAATGACAGATTTGGAAGGAGGAAGGCCATCCTACTTGCAGATCTCCTCTTCTTTGCTGGCTCTGTCATCATGGCTGCCGCTACCGGCCCTGCCATTCTTCTCGTCGGCCGAGTTTTCGTCGGCCTCGGCGTCGGCATGGCCTCCATGGCTGCACCTCTCTACATCTCCGAAGCTTCTCCTACCAGAGTTCGAGGTGCTCTTGTTAGTCTCAATGGCTTCCTCATCACCGGTGGCCAGTTCCTCTCCTATCTCATCAACTTGGCCTTCACCAAGGTACCCGACTCAACTTAAAGACTCATAAACTCAATCTCTTAAAAGATTCGAGATAAGAATGATACAATAATAGAAATAATTTGTTGTAGGCTCCAGGAACGTGGAGATGGATGTTAGGAGTAGCAGCAGCACCTGCTCTGATACAGATTGTACTCATGCTCATGCTCCCTGAATCACCTCGTTGGCTGTTTCGAAAGGTGGTGCCTTGACCATCTTCATCACATTCTGAAAACACTTCAGTTCACTGTTTGAGGCAACCCCATTGGGGAAAAAAAAAAAACTAATATTTGCTTGGCTTTCATGAAATAACAACAGGGGAGGGAAGAAGAAGGAAAAGCGATTTTGAGGAAGATATACTCGCCCAGCGAAGTTGAATACGAGATCAATGCCTTGAAGGAATCAGTTGAGCTAGAAGTTAAAGAAGCTGCATCATCAGAAAAAATAAGCATATTGAAACTGGTGAAGACCAAGACTGTGAGAAGAGGGTTATATGCAGGAATGGGGCTTCAAATTTTCCAGCAATTTGTGGGTATCAACACAGTGATGTACTACAGCCCCACTATAGTTCAACTTGCTGGTTATGCTTCGAACCAAACAGCACTTCTTTTATCACTGGTCACGGCTGGATTGAATGCATTTGGGTCTATTCTGAGCATATACTTCATTGATAAGACTGGGAGGAAGAAACTTCTGTTGGCGAGCTTGTCCGGGGTTGTGTTATCTCTAGTGGTTCTAACTGTTGCGTTTCATGAGACCACCACCCACTCACCAATGGTTAGTTCCATTGAGACCTCTCACTTCAACAACTATACATGCCCTGATTATTCCTCTGCTTTCAACCCTTCCTCTTGGGATTGCATGACGTGCCTCAAGTCTTCTCCTGAGTGTGGCTTCTGTGCTTCACCAACTAACAAGGTACATTCTTCTCTTTTCAACCGTTAATTGCTGTTAAAATATTTAAGCGTAAATGGACTTTGAGTTGATGTGAGAAGCCTCACGTTAAGTGTTGTATCAAATATCCTACATGAGATGATTTATTGTGCAGCTATTGCCTGGGGCATGTTTGATCTCCAATGACGCCACAAAGGACTTGTGTGGAAAAGAAGCCAGGTCATGGTACACAAGGGGGTGTCCTAGCAAATATGGGTGGCTTGCCCTGGTTGGGCTTGCCCTTTACATCATCTTCTTCTCCCCTGGGATGGGCACTGTCCCTTGGGTGGTCAACTCTGAGATATATCCTCTTAGGTACAGAGGGATCTGTGGAGGGATGGCTTCCACTTCCAACTGGGTCTCTAACCTCATTGTTGCTCAGTCCTTCTTGTCTCTGACAGACGCCATTGGCACCTCTTGGACCTTCATGATCTTCATTTTCATCACCATTGCTGCCATCATCTTCGTCATCATTTTTGTCCCGGAAACCAAAGGGCTTCCAATGGAGGAGGTGGAGGCTATGCTTGAGAGAAGATCTCTTAATTTCAAGTTTTGGCAGAGAAGAAGTTCTCAGCCTGAAATTGTAAAACAGTGAAGCCCCAATCATATATGGCCATGTTGACTTTACGTGTGTCCCCCTTGATTTGTGTCTCAGTATTGAAATATATATAATATATGAAACCATGTGTACTGGATAATGGTTTCAATGGGGAAGAATTATTAATGTAGAAAATGGATTAGGCATTGTAGTTCAAGCTAGTGCATTGATTTTCTCTTGAAACTGCAATCATTTGTAACTTGAGGAATAAGATTGTGTTACCCGGTTGATCGGCCGGCTGGATATTGTTGAACATCTTACGGGAAAAAAAAAAAAACAAAGAAAGAAAAGAAGGGCATAGAAGGAAATGGCAAGCAAATTATTCAACAATATGCTAATACTATGTGTATCAAATTTTTATCAATAATTAATTATCCTAATAACAACGTCACTTTTCTCTCTTAAAAAAGGTCTTGAATTTAAATTTAATGTTGACATATTTGTGTGCATGTGTGGGTCGTGTGTCTCCCTTTTATATGGGAAAGGGATGGGTTAGGGGTAAAGTTTTATAAATTTAAAAAAATGTATACCAAATTTCTATCAATTGCCAAATAAGCTGAACAGAATTTATTTCCCTTTTATTTAATTCCATTAAAAGGTTTCTCACATTTTATTTCACAATATGAGTAAGAAGCACTCAAGCCCAAAAAGACATCACACAAAGCTATGATATTTAATAGGGATAATATAACTTTAAGTCATTATGTTTTTAATTATTGATATAGTTTTTAAATTTTCACTCAATATAATTCAATCTTAATAATTTATTGAATTAAAAAATTATAGAAAGTGAGTCAAAAACTATAAAAATTATATTGTTTGAGTTAAGAAAGAAAAGTATTTGGATTTAGTTGTTTCTAGTAAAAATTCAAAAAAAGAATCGATGATTGAAAATAAGTGGAAATTCAAAATGGTCAAATATAAAGTAACAATAAGGATTTGTCTATCCCAATACATAATTTCTTCGATTTTCTTATAGTAACAAAAGCCTTAACATTTCTTTCATTAACATTACAAAAGCACCACGCCACCGATAATCTTAAAACTCATAACAGGACCTTGGGAGTAGTTGGGATTGTCGCAATAAATCATTTCATTTCAGCATGTTCCTTGATCTTTAATGGATTTTTTTTAAATATAATATTAACAAGCTTTATCAATCTATCAAATAATTAATAATTACTAACTATAAAGTTGAGAAAAACCATTCAGGTCATGCTTTTCATTTTTCATACAAGATATAATTGATTCTTCAACTCATTTATTTGTTTCAATTGAATTTTCAAAAGTCTCTCTTCTGATATCAATATTTCATAGATAAAAATGATACTCATTCTGATAAAAAAATATAAAATATTTTTAATTTAATTACACTCTCAATAAGTTATTTTATTATCTTTAAACTGATATTATATTTTTATGTTTATTCTTATTTAATAGGATGTTTAACTCAAAAAGTTAAATAACTAATTTATTAAGAGTATTTTTAAAAATATCTTATTAATTATACTTTAAAAACTAAACATGGCTTATACTTTTTAACATATAATCTTAAACAAATATCTTACGCTTTTTTAGAGAAAGTTGTTATTATAATTTTTTCGTTAAGGACTTGAGGTTTACTTCACATTGTGTTAACTTGAAATCTGGCCCGTATAAAAAAACATCAGTGTTATATGGGCCAATTCTCAGCCCATAGAAATATGTTGTAAAAATGGGCCTTAGGCCCATGGAAACCAAAAAAATAACACCCTTTGGGCTATCGCAGATGAGCAACTTTGCGTTGCTGGAAATTTAAAAATAGAATAATATGTGTGTGCGGAGAAAAATAATCTCGTACGTATTGCCATATCATGCCATATTCTTTGTCAGGCAGAAGATGTTTTACATTTCAAAGGATTTAATTTTAGAAAATGGAATAGATAAGCTTTAGATGTTTTTGATATAATTAAGTTTTTTTAAAAAATAATGAAAATATTAGTGTAATTCTAAATGGCTTGGAATCTTTTAAAGTAATGAATAAGACGAGGAAGGCCGAAAAAAGCAAAATGCTGCCATTGCTTTATAAAGGAGTGGCTTCAGGCAAAAAAAACTTGCCTTCTCTGCTCAATTAAAATTTGATTGAATTATCTTGCCATCATTAATAGGAAAGTAAGATTAGATACGCAAAATAATCACGTGCTTCACTTCTCATAAATGCTAAGCTTTTGAGTCCATTCTTCACCATACAGCTCGAGTTTTGTCAAGCAATCAGCAATGTGGTATCAACAAACACGACATTTTCGTTGATTATTGCTTTAAATATTTTAAGATAAATTATACATGAATCCTTATATATATATATATATATATATATTCTGATACTCCTTGTGTGTGTGTGTGTTTTTTTTTTATATATATAAGGCCATTTTAGCTATTTCAATTGACCTATTAACATGGTAGAAGAATATGCGGCAACTAACTCCCATTTCAATTGAAATTAGATGGTCAATTTTATTTCTAGCAGATTTTTTTTTTTAAATCTTTTCTAATGAGATGCACTGAAAGCTGTAATTCTGCATTTCTTGTAGTTTTTTTTTGGGATAAATTTAGCAAAGAGGTAATCTGCCAACAATATTGTTATTCAATATGCTTTTTTTAAAAAAATGATATTAATAAAGGTAACCGATTAAATTAGTTAGGTATTTTAACATTGTGGGTGAGTATATATAAAGAAATTGCCAACACCAAGATCTGCATATTTCTCTTACAAGTCCTCCAATTTACTAATTGATTATGTTTAGATTTTATAAATATATAATGAGTTCGATTCGAATATTATCAGCTAAAGTGGCCATAGTCCCTTTTATCAAAACCAATGTCAGTTAGTAATATAGTAGGCAAATAGAATCTTATGATATTAGACATGAAATACATTAATAAAGTTATAAATTATATAACGTAATAAAAATTGTTTAATTATAGAAAATTGGTGGGAAAGAGATAATTAAGACGAGTGTAAGTAGGAGAATGAAAACATGAAGGGATTTTGTGTATGGTTGGAAATGGGAGGTGCTGTGGCTTGGGGAGGCACCTCTTCCTTTTAAATATATTATTCAATTCAATCATTTCCCTCCTTTTTTTTTTTTAACGAGCACTGCCAGTTTTTACTTTCAAAACTTGCTCGTGTTTTCCTTCATATAAAAAATTTAATTGATAATGAGCATCTTTTGTCTTTTTCTTCTTCTATTTTTCATACAAATCAATCCTCATATGCATGCATGACTTCAACTGTTCATTATTTCGTGTATAGAACAGCGGCTTATAAAGGTCTCGTCCAAGATAAAAGGGAAATTGGATGACTGATTTTTCTAAATATTTAGACTACCCATCTAAATACTCTCACAGAGACTTTGGAGATTCTTAAAAGGTTAACCCTTTGTGAGAATACTTTTTTTTTAAGTTAATATTTACTCGCACGCATTTAAATTGAGTTTTCTTACAATCATTCAATCTTCATTCTTGCCAAGAGAATTAGAAATTTAGTCATAGAAGATTAAATTATTACTTTCAATCACAACTTTAAAAAAGCAAATAGATTTGTTGATTCACTCAACATTAGGTTCCTTATGACACACACTATGGAGGCCATTATATTTTATGATCCACATTTAAGATGTAAAAATTTGTTAAACTATGGTACATGACTTGACTCGTTTGTTTGTTTGTTTTTTTTTCCATGTGTTTTCATGACCTTTATATGAAAAAAAAAAACAAATAAAACAATGTGAAAGTGAACTCTTCTTAAACTTATTTCTTAATATTATTTTTTAATAATTACTACATTATTATTGTTAGGTCCAAAACAGAAGCTGACGTACCCTCACAAATGTTAATTACCCTTGTAGACTTCATCTTTTTTAATACATAACTTCTCTTGATGTCTCATGATTTTGTTGTTTATTTGTATTCAAAATTATAGAAATGAGTGTTAATTAATAATTGAGAAGGATGAGGAGCAATGCAAGAAGGAACGGATAATGGTTGAGAAAGTGAAAAAATTAGTAAATGGGGAAGAGTGTGGTTAATAGTGAAAAATGGGAGAGTCCATAACGGTCACGGCGAAACCGTGTATGTACTGTGCGCGCGTGTTGTGTGCGTCGATGAACGCAAACCACCTCACTCCTTGTTTTCTGGTCCGATTCCCCCTCTCGCTCTCATCCTTCATGTTCTCTACGAACACGCCACGCTTTATATCTCCTCCTCCTCCTCTTTCTTCCCTACTCTTCACATTCTTCTCATCTCCCTCCCTCCCTCCCTCTCTCTCTCTCCGCTTCCATTGATCTCTTCCTCACTACTCACTCTCAATTCCATTCCTTCTATATTCTTTGCACACACAGCATATACATCGCCATTCTCTCTCTCTCTCCCCTTGGTTATTCCGTCCATGGAAGGAGGCGTTCCAGACGTTGATGCCTCTGCTTTTCGAGAATGCTTGTCTCTATCTCACAAGAATCCTTACATTCTTCAACTCGCTTTCTCTGCTGGAATCGGTGGCCTCCTCTTTGGCTACGACACTGGTACGTACTCTCCTCTTTCTTTCCAATCGAGTTAGTTCGATTCTACAATTCTAGCATCGGTATCTTCAATGCCCCAATTTATGTTTCCACAAAACAAAAGGCCTGATTGCCCTGTTGTCGCTTTCTGTTTCTCTGCGATCTGGATTCATTGTTGAGAGGATATCAGATTTATTTCATGTGTAATTTAAGTTTAACGGATTAAAAAAAATCTCGACTGTATCAGATCCTGAGAGCACGTCTCTCGGTTTATCTTCAGCTTTCTTAAAACTGAAAACAGTCTCTCGTTCTGCTCTTGTTTCTCAATCTCTGATTCACATCCGTCTACTTCTCCTCTGTTTTAGTTCATAAGCATTCACGAAGAATTTTATGGCTAGTGTTCTGGAAGACTTTTATGTGTTGAATTTTGCTTGTTCTCAATTTCTAAGAGTGCCTTGGTGTGTTTATTTGATTATGAAATGCATTGGAGAGTGGAAGAAATTCGTGTTTTCTATTCTCGGAGTAACACGAGCTTTTGGTATTATGCGCAGGAGTGATATCTGGGGCTCTTCTGTACATAAGAGACGAGTTCGTTGAGGTGGCTCAAAAGACATGGATGCAGGTGATGCTTTTTTCCCCCTCTTCACTTTTTTCATTCAATTAAAATCCTACTTTATCTTTCTTGTGCATTTCATGCGTCTTGGACATTACATACGTTTCAGTTAGCTTTTGAAAAACAGCTAAAGATGCTCTCAATTTTGGTTTCATCACTCCCGGTCCTCCCCTTAACTATAGAAGACAAAGAGGAAGAAGAAAAACCGGATCCTTCTTTTAATTTATAATTTTTTTATTAGAATGAAAATTAATAATTTATAAAAATGTAATTTTTACTATTTTTTATTAATATTTCTTTTACTATTTACATGAAGTTCGAGATGGATTATGCAGTGAGGTAAATTAAAAAAAGGACGGATTATACAGTAACAGTGGGAAAAAGTTACGTGACTTTGAATTGTTAGCTCTAAAAAATCAAGTGCATTTTATGCTATAGAACATTTCAAATTGTTCCAGTGGAAAATGATTTATTTTTATTTTCCCATCAATTTCCCATAAATACAAGTAATATGAGTTATATAAAATAAAATCGAAATTTTTTAATGTAGAAAAACAAATGTTGAAGTGGTTATTAAAATGAGAATAAAAAACGAGATGAGTGTATGTAAAAATGTTCCAGAGTAACATGATAATTAATAGTTTGAAGGAAAATTTATCTATTTATTTTATTATTTGTTTTTTTCTTGTTGTCTGGAAAACATAATTTTTCCTTTAGACAATGATATTCTTCTAATTATTAGTTTCTAGTGGAAAAATGTAATTTTTTTTTGGGTCAAAATTTGGAACGATCCATATTAGTTTTTTTCCCCAGAAAAGCAGGGTTAAGAGTAAAAAACAAAATGAAAAGAAGAGTCTTTGTTTTTTTTAAAAAAAAAATAACTGTTTTCTCATAGGGGGAAAAAACTGTTTTTCAGTCAGAAACATGGCCGAAGAAGTTTTAAGTATTCATTTCATTGACCGCAACGGGCTATATGCCATGACAAGAACTTTTTACATGCCAGTGCGCTTATTGCTTTCGACCAAAGAACATTCGACAACTTTACCGTATTTTCCTTCAAATGATCCGCCTTCTTTCGTTTTGGGCCATTAAAAATTGTAGACCTTTTTATCATCGCAAAAGCGAGCGTGTGTGTGTGTGTGTTGTATTTATAGAGAAAATGCAACAATTTGTGATCGCCTCGGTCTCTAGGCCTAGCTCTTCTAGTTTATTTTCTGATCTTTTGTAACTTTCAAGCTTTGGCTTGCCATCTTATTCCAAATATATATAAATATATATATATTTATAGAGATAAAAAAAGAAAGGGATGTCCAAGATGTGGACTTCATATATATATATTCACCCTTTGTTGTGTTACTTTATATATATCGTCACGTATAAATAAATAAAGATAGTCAATTCATGATGAAATGGTGGTTATAATACAGGAAATGATAGTGAGTATGGCGCTTGTTGGAGCAATCATAGGTGCTGCAGTTGGAGGCTGGCTCAATGATCGGTTTGGAAGGAAAGCAACAATCTTCATTGCAGATTTCCTCTTCTTTACAGGCTCTGTTGTCATGGCCGCTGCTCCCAACCCCATTGTTCTAATTGTGGGTCGTCTCTTTGTTGGTCTTGGCGTTGGAGCGGCTTCCATGGCCTCTCCTCTTTACATTTCAGAAACTTCTCCGACTAAAATTAGAGGAGCCCTTGTTGCTCTCAATAGCTTCCTCATAACTGGAGGTCAATTCCTCTCCTACCTCATCAACTTGGCCTTCACTAAGGTGAGACAATACCTCCTGTCATACGCCATGTGATAATATGCTAAGGTGGGATAGGATTGAAAAAGTCGGGAAAATGGCATTGAATAATGATATCAGAAAGAACAAGAACACGCTGAAAGCCCCGAAAATTGGGAGAAAAAAAAAAATACAACAAAGGACCACGTTTTAATTGTAGATTGAAGATTTGAAGAGTTGTTACGTTGCAACTCAATTGTAAATGGGATAACAACAATTGATTGATTAAATGGGTTATCTGATTATTTGATCTTATGAATGGTTTTCAAATAGTTCATAGGGTTTGAAGATCGACTATTCATTTTATTATTTGACTAATTCTCTTTTTCATTAATAACGTGTGATCGGCAATTTACAAATGATTATAGAAAATTATGACTCAATTCAGTCAGAAATTCTAAACATGGTATTTCTTTTTATTTACAACTAAAATTTTGACAACGTTTATCTACTATTTTAATTAGAATTTACAGCTTAACCTGACAGTAACATACTTCTTTAACAGTATTGTTGAGGTGTTTAATTATGAGTAGACTTAAATTCATATGAGAGTTTTACATCAAATAAAATTTAGCTTAATACATAACATATAATAAGGTAAAATGATAATAAATTTGCATTTTGAAATTTTTAATTAAAATGTAATGTCTACTTATTCTCTTTCAACTTTTCAGGCATTTCATTCTTGACATTTACTACCTCCATCTCAAATTATAAAATAATTTTGAGTGAGATTTAATATTTCAAAATATAAAATATTTTGACAAAAATAAAGTTTTATTAATAATACTTTGTTAATATTATTTTTTTTATATATTCTCTTTTTTTAATATTCATTCACAAATAAGGTATTAAATGAAAAATATTTTTAAAAGCCTACAATTTTGTCTTGAAAAAGCGAGATTGTAAAGTATATTTAATGAACTTTATTTATATATGTAATTTTATTTAAAAATATTTTATAATTTGATATGGAAAGAGTATATTTCAAAATTTCAAGAGTTTAATTTGTTTTTTTTTTTTTTACCTTTCCCAAGTCCTTTTTAAAATGTTTTTAATTTAATAATATTTAATTACTATAAATCATTTATTTCAGACATCAGGAACTTGGAGGTGGATGTTAGGAGTGGCAGCCTTACCTGCTTTGATACAAATCGTTTTGATGTTTTGGCTCCCCGAATCACCTCGTTGGCTTTACAGACAGGTGCGCTTTCTTCGCTATCTTGTGAAAATAATAGTGTCTAGCTCTAGGTATGTTAAAAATGTGTGTATAAAACAGGGAAAGGAAGAAAAAGCAAAAGCAATTCTGAGGAAGATTTACGCTGAAGATGCCGAAGATGAAATCCAAACCTTACATGATCAAGTTCAACTAGAAATAAAGCTACAGGACGAAGCAAAAGATATCAAGATAAGTGAAATGTTAAAAACTAAATCGGTAAGGAGAGGGTTATACGCAGGGGTTGGCCTTCAAATCTTCCAGCAATTCGTGGGCATCAACACAGTGATGTACTATAGCCCCACAATAGTCCAATTAGCTGGTTTTGCTTCAAATCAAACAGCACTTCTTCTATCACTCATCACATCTGGGCTCAATGCATTCGGTTCTATTCTAAGCATATACTTCATTGATAGAACTGGGAGAAAGAAGCTTGCTCTTATCAGTTTGGTTGGTGTTGCTTGCTCACTCGCTCTTCTAACGGCTATATTTCAAGTTGCTAGCACCCACTCTCCTATGGTTAGCCCTGTTGCAACCAATCACTTCAATAACACCTGCTCTAGTTATGCCTCAGCAGCGGATACTAGCTCTTGGCATTGCATGAATTGCCTCAAAGCTAATCCAGTCTGCGGATTCTGTGCTGCCAAATCTGATAAGGTAACATCTCATTACTCATTTTAATCCACTTGACTTGACAATGCGGTGTGCTTAAACCAAGCCTAATAATATCCTCAGTCTGACTCTGACTTGCTGAGTTTACTAATGGATCCTTGAAAGTGACTGAAAAAAATAGATAAAATATGAAAAATTATTATCTTCCATGATGCGATCCTCCGAAGTCCATTGGGCTTTGCCCTTTCTTGATTCAACCCGTTCCTCAAATTAGTATTTGACAGTAAATGTTCAATCCTGGTATCATACTTTTACAAACTTAAGGGGGGGGGGAAATCATGAACAAAAACTATAGAAGATTTTTACATCTCAATGGTAAGCTATTCCTATATGAACGCCTACAAGCATGCCCAAATTCTTTAAAATTAGGACACTTGAGTAGACTTGTTATGTTGATGCTGACAAGCTAAAATTGTGAAATGCTGTTGTGCAGCTTTTACCCGGGGCATGTTTGGCGATAGGTGAAATGACAGAGAAAGAATGCAAAGCTGAAAAAAGGGAATGGTACACAGAGGGTTGTCCCAGCAAAGTTGGTTGGGTAGCAATATTGGGACTTGCTCTCTACATCATCTCCTTCTCCCCCGGAATGGGAACGGTACCTTGGGTCATGAACTCTGAATTATACCCTCTACGATACAGAGGAATCTGCGGTGGCATAGCTTCTACAGCACTCTGGATCTCCAACCTCATCGTATCTCAAACCTTCTTGACCATGACAAAGTCCATAGGAACTTCGTGGACTTTCTTGGTGTTTGGTGTCATTGCTGCTATAGCTGTATTCTTTGTCCTTGTCTTTGTTCCAGAAACTAAAGGCCTTCCCATTGAGGAGGTGGAGAAGATGCTGGAAGATCGGTCTGTTAATTTCAAGTTTTGGGAGCCGCTCGAGAAGAAGCCAAAGAAGATGATTGGAAAGATCCAATCATGAAAGATTTAATTTACCAGGATCAATGTGGTATTTTAATTAACTACAGAGACCTATACGTCTGTGGCACATAAATAACCACCCTGAGGCGATGTTTTATGTCATTATCTGATAGGAGTCAGATTAACTGGGTAGAGAGGTAACAGACATACCATACTACTTCAAGAGAAGCTCATGTACTTGATATTTTATTACTACAGCTTTCTTCTTTTTTCAAGCTGTTATAATTTTTAGTTGAATGAGAAGAAGCTGCCTTATTATAAACAGAAACACACTCTACATCTTTAGTGAGCATTTATTATTTGGTGGTTGTAAAAAAACAAAAATGTTGCAAGACAAGCTCAACATTCAACATGAATATATAGTTGCCACCATTGCTATCAAAATCGCCTTGACGCGTTCTAACTTCTAAACGTAAAAACTTGCGATTTCACAACTCCAAGTAGCTAGAATATTTCTTGCCCCAAAGCTTGGAAATTTCAAGTAAAAAAGAGCGTATAATCGAACTCATCAAATCCCAAGTCTATGACCAGTTATGCGATCGTGTTTGGATCCCCAGCTAGCACTCTGGTCATTTCACTACACTTCCGCTTCCTCCGGGCTCGGGCCGCCTTATATGCCGCCTTTGTTCTTATATATACTTGTAAATTCACACTAATTAATTCACTGGAAAATAATAGTTATTAGTCCTAAAAGATGAAATTAACTCATCAAAAAAATATGAAATTAATAATAGTGAGGTTCTGATAAAATTTTATAAAAAAATAAGTTATAAATATTAATTTTAATAACTTTAAATTCACAAGTTTTGATTACAAATAATACATTTAAATTTTAAGGGCAACTCTTTGTTTGTAATTAGGATTTCTATTTACAACCGTATAGATCAATATCTTTGGCTCATTTTTTTTTAAAAATTGTCGGTAATTTAGCAATCATTAATTTCCTTTTTGAGACTTTATAATCATTCTCCCGATTTAAAATGAGTTGTTCTTCGTGATTTATGGAGAAAAAAAAAAAGAATGCCAATGCGTCTTCCTATCTTTTTTATAGATATATTGATATGAAAAAACTTAGTACTTGATACTTTATTTACTTTTTTTCAATTAAATTAAAATACATGCGTTTTTTTTCAAATCAATATTTTACCTTTTAACTATTTTTTTTATAAACTAAAAGTTTATGTAAGTTGGATTTCAATAACTTATTAGGAATCAGGATATTCAAAGAGCACTTACAATTATATTTATAGATTATCTATCAACAAGGTTCTCATATTAGTAAAATTTCATCCTATAACCTTATAAGTTATAGATCAAATACTAATCTGAACCAATTTTGTTGTTACATTTTAACTAACCTTTGTTATCAATACATTTATGTTAAAAAAATCAATCCGTTTATTCTAAATTGATTGAAAAAATTTCAACTAACTTTTGTTATTAATAGTTTTAGTTTTTAAAAAATAAATTCATTTATTCTAAGTTGATTGAAAATTTTTAAAGATTCTCCCATTGATATCTCTTTTCATGATTGTTAATCATGAAAAAATGCTGGTGATCTTATAAATAACAATATTTGTTGAGATATTAACATGTCTATAGAAATTATCCGTGATATTGATATCTTTTTTACCCATACTAATTATAATCCACATAATCCCATCAAATTACATTCTAAACATCAATATAATCAATCAGATTATCTTAAGAATAAATTAATTTTTTATTAAAGATATTGCAAAAATGTTGACGTTATATTTTCAAGAATTGAATTAAATTCAACTAGATATTAGATAATTAATATTAGTAATGAATATAAATTATCTTTATGCTAAATCACATTATATTATGTTGTGACAAATAATATTTTGACTTAAAATTTCATTAAAAAAATGTAAACGTCATATACAAAAGTTTAATCCATCTAGTCATCTACGCTAATTAATTTAGCAGTTAAAAGAATAACTTGATAAAAAACAATTGTTAAAAATATTAAATTTTAATCATCAGTAGAAATATGAAGCCAAATTTAAAATATATGATATCTCATTATATTAATATTTATTTTTATCTATATATTTTAAAATTGTATAAATTAACATAATATAATATAATATAGGATGATAATGAAACACATAATATTGATTTAATTAGGATCAAATAAAAATTTTCAATAAAATAGTTGATTTAATCTCTTTAACGGAACATTTAAATTTTATTATTTAATAATATTTTTGAATCAACTTATTCTTTTGCCTGCAAAATTAGCATAACTTTATATATATATCAAAATTAAATATATATTTTTCCAGTTTTGAATAAAATTTTTAATTAAAATATTACATGAGACAGTATACAGTTTAATGGTTATCGAGTTTCATTAGCCGAAAAAAACGATATCTAGTTAATTAGTTATCTTATATTTTTTATTTTTAATTTTTGAGTATCTAATTGGATTTAAATCGATTCAAATCCAACCATGTTTCCTCTACCGACAATCTATATATTTCTCCTGCGAGTGCCTACATCTTCCAGACGGAAAGAAAATAAGAGAGAAAGTAAGTTGTTGATGATGGAGGGAGGAGTAGCACAAGCTGATGCGTCTGCCTTTAGAGCATTACTGTCTCTCGCAAGAAAAAATCCGTTTGTTCTGAGACTGGCTTTTTCTGCTGGACTCGGAGGATTTCTCTTTGGCTATGATACTGGTATTTCTAAAATTACCTCTTTTTCCTTTCATTAACATTATTAATCACTGATGTACTTGGAACGTAATGTAGTTTTTTTTTTCTTTTTAATATTATTATTAAATTAATAGCACAAATCTAAAATGAGTGTTGAATTAAAAACTTCCCCATTGTATGGCACTGGCAGGAGTCATATCCGGTGCTCTGTTATACATCAGAGATGATTTTCAAGCGGTGGCCAACTCCGCGTGGTTGCAGGTAACCCATTGTATATTATTATTATTATTATTATTATTATTATTTTTATAAATTGATCTCGATTATCAATTTGGTAGTTTAATTTTTATTAGTATGGTGCTTTATTTTTTTGCTTATTATTTATATAGAATCACATTTCATCTTAATTAACTATTAATGATTTTTATAATTTATATAAAAAGGGAGAATGTTATCAAAGTCTCAAAATAATTAATTTATAATAGTTAAATCACTGGCAAATTTTTTTTGAAAAATCAATTATACATTTTTTTAAAAAATAATCATAATTTAAGAATTTTAATTGTAAATAAATACTTGTAACGGCCATACATTCCAAGTTTTGGAATTTTATTGTAAAAAAAAAAAAACTTAAAGAAGCAAGGAAAAAAAAAAGGGTTGAAAAATACAAGTGGTTTGAATTTTCGAAGTGACGAGTTTTGATGGAAACAGGGAGCAGTGGTGAGTTTTGCACTGATAGGAGCCACGATTGGGTCTGTAGGAGGAGGATGGATGAGTGATGTGTTTGGAAGGAAACTGTCAATATTCATTGCAGATTTACTGTTGGTTGCTGGCTCAGTCATTATGGGTGCTGCTTGGAACCCCATAGCCCTCCTTGCTGGCAGAGTCGTCGCTGGTCTTGGCATTGGAATGACTTCCGCTGCTGCCCCTCTCTATATTTCTGAAGTTTCTCCCGCCAAAGTCAGAGGAGCCCTTGTCAGTCTCAACAGTTTCCTCATCACTGGAGCCCAGTTCCTCTCCTACCTCATCAACCTCGGCTTCGCCCTCGTAATCTCCTCCTCCTCCTTTTCTCTTTGTTAAGGATAATATAACTTTTATGGAACTTTGGGGTTTAATCTTCTTTCTGTATTTCAGGCACCTGGAACATGGAGGTGGATGTTAGGAGTGGCAGCAGTGCCTGCTTCCATTCAGTTAATTTTGATGCATTTTCTTCCAGAATCACCTCGTTGGCTTTTTAGAAAGGTGTCTTCATCATCATCAATTTCTACGAACATGATGATCGCTTTTTTCATCTGTCAGTCCATGTCATAACCTATACAAGAACCCTTGTCTTTCTTTTTTTGATAGGGGAGGCAGGAAGGAGCAAAAGTGATCTTGAGGAAAATATACGAACCCAGTGAAATTGAAGGTGAAATTCAAGCTTTAGAGGAATCAGTTGAGAAGGAAACAAAGGAATCCGAATCTTCTGATAAAATCAGCATATGGAAGATGCTCAAGAACACGGCCGTGAGAAGAGCCCTGTATGCTGGAATGGGCCTTCAAATCTTCCAACAATTTGTGGGCATCAACACAGTCATGTACTATAGTCCCACCATAATTCAACTGGCTGGAATTACTTCAAATCAAACTGCACTTCTTCTATCACTCATCACATCTGGGCTTAATGCATTTGGTTCTATTCTCAGCATCCTCTTCATTGAGAAGATTGGGAGAAAGAAGCTTGCGTTGATCAGTTTGGTTGGTTGTGTACTTTCTCTTTGTATTATCTTTGCCCCATTCTATGTCACGCAAACTCATTCCCCAGGGATCAGTCCAATTGCAACTTCTCACTTCAACGGAACTTGTCCTGGTTTTGACATTGCAATGAAGACTAATACTCCCTGGGATTGTAACAAGTGCCTCAAAGCTTCTCCAGCCTGTGGATTCTGTGCTGATCCATTTGATAAGGTAAATATATATATATATATATATATATCATCCATTTCCTGTGGAATTGGTAAATTATTGAACCAACGCGCCTTAACCTGTTTATTGATTAGCTTGGTTTTCAATATATACCATACTTTCATCTACTTTTGATATGAAAAGTTGCGAATTGTTGTTGTGCAGTTTTCACCTGGGGCGTGTTTGTTGTCCAATGACAACTCAAAGAAGCAATGCCGAGCAGAGAAGAGTTCTTGGTATACAGAGGGATGCCCTTCTAATTTAGGTTGGCTTGCAATCTTAGGGCTTTCACTCTACATCATCTCCTTTTCACCTGGAATGGGGACTGTTCCCTGGGTTGTCAACTCTGAGATATATCCTCTTAGGTACAGAGGAGTGTGTGGAGGCATGGGAGCCACATCAGTTTGGGTTTCTAATCTCATTGTGTCTCAAACCTTCCTGGTTCTGACCAAGAGCATTGGAACAGCATGGACCTTCATGATTTTTGGTTTTGTTGCTTTCATTGGAATCTTCTTCGTCCTCATCTTTGTTCCAGAAACTAAAGGGCTTCCCATAGAAGAGGTCGAAACCATGCTAGAACAGAGGCCTGTGCGGTTTAGATTTTGGAATTAAAAGATGCTTGATGAGTGAGGTTGCATAGCTTCTAATTTTTAACAACTCCTTTCAAGTAGAGATATTTATGTGGATACTTCTTCTTCTTCTTCTTCTTTTTTTTCCTTTGGCCTTTTGAAGTTTGAGAGTTTTTCCTCATTTTTTTATTGGGTTTGAGAAAGACTATGCAGATAGACATATTAATAGCAGTTTTAGAAGGTGTTCATTGGTTTGCATTTGATATGCTTAGCTTCTTTCTTTACGTTTCTCATCCACGGTTTTCAAGTTGGTTCGTTTGCGGCGGTTCTTTTCATCTCGTTCCAACCCCAAATTTAAACCATGTTTTAACCACTGTTGGTGGAGGTGGTGGTATTTTTTATAAAAAAAAATTAATTATTTAATTTATGTGTAGCTTTGATTTGTTTATAATTTAATCTTTAAATTATAATTTAATATAACTCAATCTCTATCCTTTTGATTAAGTTGTAAGTTGTAACTTACTTCCTAAATTTTTAATTATTTAAAATGTATTTTTAGCCAAAAACCATTTAAAATGTTGGTCTATATTTTTTTAAAAAAATAAAATTATAAAAATTAAAGTTATTTTTTGAAAGTTAAGGGCTAATGTTTTGATAGCTAAAATTATAATGAGTGAGTTGTTAAGTCAAAATTTAAAGATTATATTATAATTGAATCAATTTATTGAGACTGAATTATGTCAAATTAAAATATAAGAATTGGATTATAAATTATTTAAAATTATATAGACTAGGCAATTAATTTTCTCTTATTTACAATTGTAAGTTGGTTAGGACCTCACCATTTTCAATGACCTGAACATGTGGATTTTCAATCTAAAATAAAATAAAATAAACGTCTTGACAGCAAAAATTAGTTTATTATTCAAATTCTTCATCGATCTTCGCACTTTTAGTTTAGCCATTGACATTTTAAAACAGCTTGCTTATCAGAATTTCAAACCCCTCACCTGAAGGGAAAGATTCGCATCTCAAGCAACATTCAAATTCAGTATAAAAATTATTGATTCTAAAATCAAATAAAAGGGTAAAAAATGTATTCACACAGTGATTTCGGATAAATCACATTTTTATGAAACTATAACAAATTTATCAATGATTAATAACAGCTTGATAATGATAACTTCAATTTTCATAATCATAAAGAATTTATGTATGACTTATTCGTCATAATATTTTAATTTTTTGTTAAATAGTCTGTTATTTTAATTCATTCATTGACATTAATCATAAAGAACTTTATATTATAATTTTTTTAAATGTGAACATTATATTATGATTACATACTTCAATTAATTTTTTTTTTAAGCGCAAGAAATTTGTTCCAGTTTTTCATATAAGGTTGGCCCAATAAGGATTATGGCCCCATAATCTGAACTGGGCACCCATTAGTTCGGCCCATCAATTCCCCTCAAATTCTATTCTGGAAAAAGCAAAATCATAAATTAAAAGAAGTCAATAAATAAATGGAATCTTTTTTTTTTCCGGTGCACGTTCATGTTTTTAATTTCAATTATAAGGAAAATATGGAATACAACTCCACACACTCTTAATGTTTTTAATTTGGTTTTGTTTTAAATATTACAAGACGATTTTTATGTAAAAGTAATTTTTTTTATTCATAAAAGTTTAAGATTCACTGAAGCCTGAATAAGCTATAAGACTCAAAAAATGTTTATAGATTATCAACTGGTGATGTTTTCACCTCAAAAGCAGGTTTGAACTCACATCCTTGTCAGGTTTGAGTTGTGTTCTTATTGATTGAACCAATTTTTGTTAGCGTTTTAGAACGTTGTTTTGGCTATTACAGTCATGCGAATATAATGAATCTAAGATCCATAAATAATATACGGCTTTTTTTTAATCACTAATAGTTATTTATTTTCACAATCTTTAAAATAAAATTATACATTTAACACTTTTATCAGTCTCTGACTCTTTATTATAAATTGTTTGTTTTTAACTTTTCTTGTGAAAAAATACAATAATAGGTCCCTATACTTCGGTTGTGATTTGTTTTTAGTCTTGTAGTTTTTATTTCATTATTTCTAGTCCCTTTAATTTATGCTGTTGCAACATTAATTTAAAAACAATTAATGTTACTTTAACAGGCGACGAGTTGGCAATGGCAAAGTTACTTTTTTTTTCATATACTTTAGTTGTTTTTTATTTTTAATTTTTATAGTTTTATTTTATGATTTCTAATCTTTTTAATTTGTTTCGTCCGTAATATTAATCTTTATAATTTTACAAAATGCAGAAAATAATGGTCATAGGTTGGTAATGGTGAAGTTAATTTTACAAAATATGATAATCGATCCATGTACTTTGGTTTTTTTTTTTCTTTTAAACCTTGTACTTTCATTATTTTCAATCCTTTTAGTTTGTTCCATGTACAATATTAACCCCTATAATTTAACAAAAAAATTGCACGTAATGGCCATGGGCTAGTACCAATGGAGTTAATTTTTCTATAACCCTACTAACCTCTTTGCTAACATGAAAATAAATAGACTAGGCGTGACTATAAATAAAAGGTAAAGGGGCAAAACAAGCTTCTTTATATATTTTGATTAAACAAAATACGAGAGACCAAAGTAAGATAAGTACATCTTAACAAGGATTAACAACATTAAGCATACATCAGTCAAATTAACTTTATGGGTACCAGCTCATGTTTTTTATGCACATTTTTTAAATTATAAGTAGAGGAATCAAATTAAAGAGGTTGAGAACAACAAATAAAACTATAAAAACTAAAAACAAAATATAATTAAAATAGAAAGACCTAGTGTTATATTTTTCATTTTCTTTTAAATTCTTTTGGCGAACTTGCATTTGTCATGCTTGTGTTGCTATCCACCTGATTCCTATTGATCATCCTAACATATTTCCATGCCATTTTTGGCAAAACCAAAAGCAAAATAACTTATTTGCTTCTGTCAACTCTCAGGTCAACTTTTTTTTTTACACACAAAATAGTGTTTGTGTGTAGGTGTTTGTTTTGTCTGTAAATAGGGGTAGAAACATTTAGTCTTCAACCGATGACTTCATTTCTCTTGGCTTAATTAAAAAATTCCATTCCATTGATGTGATTTGGAGAATTTTTGTGGTTTGTAAGGTTGATAGCTTAGTCAAACCAGAATATTTTCTTTAATTTTTTTACTTTCAAGTATTTGATAGGCATCACAAAGTCAATCATTTTCTCTCATTATTTTATTTATTTTTCAATTTACCAATCACAACGCCACCCTTTTCTTTTTGCGTACCAACTTCTGACTTTCAATAGGTACATATTATTGGCTAATAAAAAAAACGAGACGAAGTGACATTATAAAACAAATTTATTAGTTGTCAACAACAAACGATTTCTTTGTTATATTATGTTTTCAAGAAATTTTAATACTATAAAACTTCTGTTTCTTTGTAAACCACAGGAATGTGACATATAGTTAGTCAATTTTATCCCCTATCACACATTGACAAATAACCATAACTTGTACTCTTTTTTTATTGATACTCTATATTTATAGTAGTTGTCACTGTTTAAAATTTTATTATCCTTTTATATAATTAAAGTTACTCTTTTTAAATGTGAATTAATTATTAATTTCTAGGTTATCTATTTTTTTTAATAATTCTCCAGTAGTCGATGCGCTAGCAATGGGCGGTGATCGATTTTTTTTAAAAAAGGGTAACATAGTCATTCAAAAAGAAATCAAATAAAAAAAGGGGACCCAATGACTGTAGCTTTCCCTTGTTTTTATTTTTTATTTGAAAGAAAAGAACCGGATAATTTAAAAACATAGATTATTTTTTGAAAGGATGAATATTTTCATTTTATTAGTGTGTCCTCGTATGTAGGAGAGGATCGGAATAAACCATTCAAAGGATATTGAAATGATTTTTTTTTAAAAAAAAAGATTCTTATCATAAATAATGTGCCTATTCAGCTGATGAAGATTCCTCCTATACCATAGGTAAGGTACATAAATCATGTGGTAGTCACATGAAGAAATGAAATTCAGGCCCATAAAAACTATAAATAAATGAAATAAAGATTAGAAAAGAGATTAAAGGGGTTAAACAACTTTGTTAGGACACATGCTGTGTGATATCCCATAAAGGGAGGCATGCTGGGGTTGAGTCTCTCAGTCAGAAACCATGATCATCCCCAATTAATATAATCTAATTTAATATTAATAATTTAAGTATCAATTATATCAATCGTAACACACATGCTGATACTGTTGGGATTATTTCAGCAAATCATTATTTTTTTCACCACATGCTATGTATGTGTGCCTCGCCAAACCAAACCCACCAAAGATATATTCATCTCTTCAATAATTAATTCACCTGTTCTTCAACTGATCTTCTTTTTTTTTTGTGTTTAAAAAAAAAGAATTCAAATCTTAAACAAGATAGCTAGTGGAGAAATTGTCAGCCTTTTAAAAATCAAAACTATAATAATTGATATCAATTAGGTTCGTCACAATAGCTAGTGCCACAAGCGTGTTCACCAACCCACAAGAGCGAGAAATGATATGTGAGTGGTATAAATGTAAAACGAAGTATTCATAGTGTGAGTTGTGTGTGAATTATTGGTGAGAAATTTAAAAATGGACCATTAACATAAAAAAAAACTTAAATATTTGAATATGATGAATTTCAAATGCATAATAAAACCCGCAAGGACCATGATCCTAAAGAGATAATATTCTTTAGTTAAAAGACCTTTTATTTTTCAGCACTCGTCTTTAAAGTACATATTATTGAAGATTAATAATAGATCAATGTAGAAAAAAAGGTTATTATATTTTTTTCGAAACGTGTACAAGTCCAAATTCACCGTTTCAATTGTGTATAAATAAATTTTAGTTGTTCTTGGGCCTCTGTTTTTTTTTTTTTTTTTACACCCATGTGGAGACACTACCAGTCATTCTCCCAATGATATATAAAGAAAAGGGAAAGTATTTTTCACATACAACAGAGATTGCACTTTTGATGGATCAAAATTACCAAGAAGCGGGTGTATATATATATATATATATATAATTCATTCCCTTGATCCTGTAGCATATTTTC